TCAACATTAGATAAATATTAGTATAGCCACTTTGAGTCTAGTTTCTCACTCATTTACAAGCTCGAACATGAAATTGATAAAGTCAAAACAATCAGGACTAGTCCATAAACTGGCTGATAAAGTCAATTGTTCTCTTTGATGAAGCTAAACTCAATTAACTATAATCTTATTCAAAAAGTAGACTCCAAATATGATGGCAAGGTTTACCAAATTAACAATGTGAAAGTATTCAAATAATTCATCGTCTTACCAGCAAAACCTTGCACCATTGTCATTACCCACTCAACTACTTGCTGTATCGACCAAAAGGCACATAATATTACCAAATATCCCACAAGATTTGGATTTTTTTCAAGCTACTACTTTCTAGGTTAATATATAAAACTATGTGGCTGATTTGGCTTAATTCAAGTTTTTAATTTGTTTCCAAACTAAAACCCACTCTTCTCTGTTTTCTATCCTTTGTTCTAGGTCTTTTCCCAATCTACAATTGTTCACTAATTTCCAACACCAAATCACATCATGTCTTAATAGATTTAGAAAAGTGAGAAATTAAAAACTAGTGATGTTAGTACTTTTACCTTGTTAGTTCTTCTTCTTCTTTGAGAAAAAAAGCATGAGAGAGATAATTAAGCAAATGAATAATGAAAATCTGTTTTAAATGACACATTGAAGCTGATAAAGTCAATACAATTAGGGCTAGTCCATAAACTGGTTGACTCGAGAACAAAACGTTGTGCTTAAATAAACTAGAGCATATAGAACTTCATGAATAACCACTCTTTTAAGTCCTCAGAAAGAACTTGGAAATGAGTTAAAGGCAACATAAAGGTTTGAAATAACATGTTGGCACTCCACAAAGACTGTTACTATCATCTTTCTTATACCACATTGGCATTTCTAGATGAAACCAACAAATTCATTACCAAGTTTGTTAAGTAATTGCTCTAATGTCCCAATTTTTTATACTGTAATGCATGAGAGGTAAAAATCTTTTCTATTCATAAAGCCGTCACCATTGAGGTACAAATTGGTTTCATGTAGAATGCAGCAGCAAGATCTGTGCTGTCGTTCTTGGATTAGAAGTTTAGTACCAAAACAAAAAAGGTGGAAAGCAAAGATTATGTAACTAAATTTTCCATGCTTCAAAACAAACAAAAAGCCACCTCCAAGAGTGAAAAATACCAAATTCCAAAAATGCAAATACTTGACAATGCATTCCCATTGGAAGATCGCAATACATTGGCAACAAAAGTAGCTGCTTCTGGGGTGGCTAAAAATACTAAATTCAAAAATAAATAAATAAATAAATAAATAATACAAAAACTTGACACTGCATTCCCCTCAAAGATCAATGCACATAGGCAAAAACAGTAGCTTATTTTGGGATGGCTATCATGACAACTTCTACTGGCTCTATAACTGAACTCAATTGACTATAATTTTATTCAAAACGAAGGCTCCAAGTATGATGACAAGGTTTACATAATTAACAAGGTGAAAGTATTCAAATAATTCATCGTCTTACCAGCAAAACCTTGCACCATTGTCATTACCCACTCAGCTACTTGCTACATCAACCAAAAGGCACAGATTAGAATTTGAATGACTCATGCTGAATCAAGGCAGCTAATGAAATCCACAATTCACCATTACAGTTATCAATAGAAGAACAATCTGATATAATAATATATGATAAAAATAAAGAACTGAATATTCAAGCTAAACACATGGAACATATATCACTAGCAACTATAACGATTTTGTTGAAACTGGTTTTCTTGATAATGATTTCGTTAGTAGGGTTCAATCTTTAATTTTTGTACTATATAGGGCATTGTTTTTCAAAATCCATTATGTTATGTCAAAAGTTATATATGTCTAGTTCATATCATTATCTTTGAACATTAAAATTCACTTTTATATTGACTCCATCTACACAACTCATCGTCACTATCATAAGAATTCACAGGACTATGAACTCAAGAAACTTCAGGCTCTATAGATTCTACTTCTCCTTTCTCTCCCTGCTCAGGTTTTGCTACTTCCTCCTCATGTTCACCCTGCAATCACTTTATACACTATGCCAAAGATTAGGTATGTACCCAATCTTTCCCCTTCCAAACACACATTAATGTGTACTATTTGGGTGTTATTTTTTTTTTTAATCTGGGGTATCAGGATGTATGTGCGCGCGCGCGTGTGTGTGTGAGAGAGAGAGAGAGAGGGGTAATATGGGTATCCTTTTATGGTTTTATTTCTTTCCCCATATATTTACTTCCTCACAAAAAATAATAATAATAATTCATTTTAACACCCCTTAACCTTTAATTTTATTCAACAAATGTAGCAGACATGGAAGTGAGCTCCTATTATTAAAACAAGTAGTGACCAGGCGAAAGAGTTGCAAAACTCCCAATTATAAATCATTAATTAAAATAAACTTTTCTAGACTTCTAAAAGGATTCAAGAATCTTATAATGTGACAAAGACTTGTTCATACTTTTCAAAAGCAAAATACATTGTGATCAACAAATTCATAACACGATTAGTTACAAGTTTGAGAAAGAGAGGACAGAAATCTACCTTCGGCACAATTAGTTGAAGCTTCTTGAAGCCTCAAGGGTTGCTGACACTCTTCTTTCTTATATTTCAACTTAACTTGGTTACGTGTACAACCAAGAAAAAGTTGTTGAATCATTGATATATTTGTACCAAATTGCCGTATAACCTAGAACACAAATTAAAATAGATAGCTTAAATACATCTTTTTTTTATCAGCAATAGATAGCTAGAGACGTCTTATAATCAAAAAGTGGTAAAGGGAAAGCATGAGAGAGATAATTAAGCAGATGAATAATGAAAATCTGTTTTAAATGACACTGTTAGTGTTAATTTAGTGTAGTGATAATTTAGTGTATTATTCATAACAACCAGCTGTCCTTCCATTATGTACAGTCACGACCCATTAGCCTAGACATTTGTTAGTGTACACCACTTTAGCTTTTTGTTTTCAGCTTTATGCTTTCGGTGCCTCGCATCCAATGTACATCACAGGCTATAAGAAGAGAGCTAGGCTCCCTTTGTAAATTAACAAAATATATACACATCTCATTTATTCACTTGCTCTCTCTCTCTCTATCAATTTATTTTACATGGTATCAGAGCTCGGTTCTTAACCTAGTAATTCTGCTTCACCGGCGGGCGACAACCTCACCTTGGCCGCCCGCTGGACCTCTACACATATCTTCACTCCGCTGCCACAAATTTCATTCCATAGCAGAACTCCGCTGCCACTAAACCCTTTTCTTGAGTAGTGCTCAAAACGAGGACTTTAAGTTGTTTACTCAACTCATCATCCTCCGGTGGTGATATTGCAACCACCATGGATAGAGAAGCTCTAGATCTTACCACCATGTCTTCGAGCTCAGGCTCCATCATGGACCGGGCCGATCCGGTTAACCCATCTAGGTAAGTAACATAGTTGGTGAGAACACTTCTGAGCCATGAATGGGCATCCGAATGTGACTCGACTGTCCTTTTCTCAATTGCCACCACAGAGTCCATCACTCTATCCATTGACAGCTCCATCAACTCCAGGCAATCTGCTAGAGCCCCTTGCTCTCTCTTGTCGTTGATCCGACGGCTGATACCGCCCGTTATCTCGATAGTATTTCATATGCCCGATTCAAGAAGGACTGCAGCAAATCAGGGCCCTTCATTTGCATCAAAATTTCAGGGGGAGCAATGTTTACTTTGCTTACAATCTAGTGGGTTTCCATGGCTCCGGCCATCTCTCCTATAAGGGAGCTCTTGCAGCCGTGTTCACCGAAGGGTTGTGTTCACCGAAGGGTTGATCTTCCTCTTCATTTCATCAGTTGGGTTGCGCACAACACTTGCTCAAGTTATTTCAAAACCAGTCCGAATCTCCTCCACCGCTGGAATCGGACTCTTCCTTGCTTTCATCGATTTACACAACAACCAAGGCATTGGACTCATCGCCACTTACAGCTCCTCCACAAACCCATTCTTCTTTTCTTTTTTTTATTTCTTTCTTTATCATCTGTGGGTCTTTTAGACCCTTTCCCAAGCACTGTTTCTGTTCTGTGAAGTGGGATGGTGCACAGTGCGTTGCACACTATTTCTGTTCCCCACTACTCCAATTTTTAACACAGCCTTAAGAGCTACCCATGTGTGTATCTCTTTGTCCAGATCAGTGCCTCATCATGCTCACCCTCTCTTTTTTTTTTTAATTCCCTTTATTCCCACTTCCTTCCCCTCTCCAATAAAATAATTCTCCACTACCTCCATGTATCAAAACCAGTTCCACCAGCACAAAACATGCTCATATGCATACCTAGCTTTCTCTCCACTTTATCACATGGGCTTGTCCCCTCTCTCTCCTCCTATCACGTTTGATTTCAAAATCAATTATTTTTATTTGTTTTCTCCAAACTACTTTTACACTCTTTCAAATACCCACATTTATTTTTCTTTCCCATCTTTTCTTTTAAACTTTTCTTTCCACCACTCTCTTTTAATATTTCTCTTTAGCTACTGCATTACTGAATGATGGTTGATTTTATTTCAAAAAAAAAATTTTTAACATCTCCATTTTGTGTTGAGCCGTTTTGCTCCACTTTATCAATCCCTTTGTTTCAACCTCCAATAGGTTTCTATCTTTAAACCTATTTGAGTTTGAGGGGGTATCGTAACTTATGATCTTCCAGGTTTTGGGTTAAGTGATCCCCATCCCAACAGGAATCTTGAGTCATCAGCTATGGATATGTTACAGTTATCATATGCTGTGGGGGTCACTGACAAGTTCTGGGTGGTAGGATACTCAGGAGAGAGCATGCATGCTTGGGCTGTACTCTCAGATACATTCCTGACAGAGTAATAGGTATATTGGTCTCTCTCTCTCTCGCTTATTTTATTTTATTTTTTAATTAGTAAATTTCTCTAAATAAGATGTTAGCCTTTAGGGACCCATGACTTGCAATTTAGAAGGCTGTATTCTGACTAAATGTTCTACCCCTGGGGGTTATGTTGGTTTTTTATCTGCATTTTCTCTTCATTGTGAGTAATTCATGTTCATGTCTTGATTATGTTGAACATTGGTCTGCAATAGTCACTTTGGAATTAGGAGGAGCTGAAACTAATAAATACGTAATCAATCAGTTTATTTTTATCTACACGTGTTAAGTTAGCAATCTGCAACCACATTTTAATGGCTCCTTTTGATATGCTCTCTGTTCTTTGTTGACTTGTAGAGACCAACCATCCACTACCGCGGCTGCTCTATGTATCAAAGCTAGAGAAGTCGGTAGTCTTTATTATCTATTAGTTACTCATTAGTGGACTCTCTTTCCAATTTTTTACATCCAGTCCTTGCTCCTTATTGTTTTTAGCAAATGCTTTCATAATTTAACCATGTGTTGTAGGTTAGTTGCTGCTCCAGATTATCAATGTGATAATTTGAACCACTGGTCTAATAATATTTTTTAAAAACATAATGATTATTTAGGGATATTTTTTAATGAAATTTACAGAACATTTGAACCACTGCTCCAGATTTTGCTAGTTGTTAGAATTTTTCTCATCTAATTTTAGTGGTGGTGATATAGTGAGACATGCTTTCTGTTTTGGAAGTAAATATTTGTTTTTGTATGTTATGTGCAGCGTGACTTAACTGATTCAACAGTTCTGAGGAATATGGGTGAAGGTTTAGGGCATTCTCTTCTTGCGTACAGAAGTGCATTACAGGGAATATCAAAGCTGCAGGTAAAAAGTTAAATTGAAAAACATTGCTGCATAATTACTAACTACTTTTCATCTTGTCAACGGTAAAGGTGTAGTAGTAATTATCTGCTTATTATAGGTTGTTTTCTTATGAAAATATTATGTCACACATTATTACTCTGATATTATTGATATGATGAAATTGGCGTTTGCTATTTGACTTTTATCAGGCAGCATTCTCCATTGCCCTTGCCATTGTTTACTTCCCTTTTATTATTTGACTTTTTTGTTGAACTAATTTTGCCATAGGTTAATGAAGCTTCTTTGTTTGAAGACTTGAATGAGTCATGGGAGGTGCTTGCGGAACCAATACAGACTGTATGTTCTTTTCTTCTAGTTTACATATCATATTCAATCTGAATTTTTTTGGGCCCTCTCTACAGATTTGAAGAATTAATATTGTGACTGCTAAAGAAAATCTTTTAACTGAATGCCATCAACAGCTCATATTGAATGCTAGTGACAGTGATTGACTGATTTTTTTTATCTTTCCTTCTTGACACTTGTTTGAATGAAATAAACCATTCTATGATTTTACTTCATAGGTTGATATTCATTCTTGGTAAAAACTATCAATTATGTACCCTCAAACTGTATGTTCCTTTCTTCTTGTTTGTTTGAGGTTCATTTAAAATTTAGGTCTATAGTGCTCTATTCTGACCAGTGATTTGTAAATTGATTAGTAGGATCGACATTTGAGAAAATGATATTTTTTCTTCTGTCTCCCCAAAAGTCATATAATATATAGGGAAAATAGCAGTGCTGAAGTTTAATGTTTAAGGCATGGCAGAAGTTGATTGAAATTAGATTTTGAATGATCTGGTTTGTGGACTAATAGTTTTGAGCATTCTTTGGTGGTTTCTTCATTTCATTAACTAAATCATCTCTAGATGTTCTTTTGATTCAATCAAATCAAATTACTTTATTATTAATTGTTTGAGTGCTTGCTCCTGATTATTGTATTATTCTTTATAGGTTGAAGGCCAAACAGAGGAAGTTATTTTTGACCATTTGCATGCAACTGCTTTCCAACACATGCCTTTAGGCAGAACCATTCTTGGTCCTCCTCAAAATGTCAGGACAATCACCAAAGATCATTTTCAAAAGTATATATCGACACGCTATACTACATCCAGAATGGTAGGTGGTGTCATAAAGTTATGAGCATTTTGTCTGTTCATAATTTATTGCTAGTTCTATTTAGTTGTTAACATGTTGCCTTCACCTTCATTCATCTATCAATTATTCAATGCCGTCAATTTACTTTCTTGAAGTCCTAAACATTGGGTGTTCTACCTGGAGCTACTATTCTAGGTAATTTTTGCTTCTGGAGTGTGAAGCATGAGGACCTTGTTGAGCAAGTGAAGAAGTTGTTTACCAAATTGTCATCGGATCCAACCGCGACTTCTAAATTAGTTGCCAAAGGGCCAGCAGTTTTTTTAGAATTTTTTGTGTTAAAATCCTTTGGTTTTTTATTTCTCTTATTTTTTCTTTTTTTCCTCGGATCTGACAGTAGGTGTTTTGGTTCACTTCTTATTTTTTGTATTAAATGGGGGAGTGGTGAGAGAGAGAGGAGGGTAATGTTATTTTGTGGCTTTGTATATAAGGTAGTAATTTTTTGATTGAGAATTGTGAATTCAATTTTTGGATATGTTATTTTGTGGGAAAATTAATGCTATATTAAATTGAATGAGAAAATGAATTAATGCTATATTTGTTATTTGAATGGGAGTTATTATTTCATATTAGTGTTATTTAGTTTTATTATTGGTGTTCTTCTAGTTCAATCACATAAAATTAGCACAATTTCAAAAGAAAAAAAAAGAAAGATAAGACGGCGTTTTTAAAATGCCACTATAACGGTTGGAATTTTTAAAATTAGAAAAACCTATGAAGGCGTTTTAAAAACATCGCTAAAATCATAGTGACGTCATAGTATTGTTAGGGTAGGACATTTGGCGGCGTTTATAAAAACGCCGCCTATACTAATACAGCGACGTTTTCCAAACGCCATAAACTTATAGGGACGACCGCATCATCGGCGTTTGATACTAAACATCACAAAAAAAATTAGCGACGTTTTTGGTACTTATAGCGGCGTTTTTTAAACGCCGCTAAAAGCCTTATTTCCAGCAGTGATACCGACATCCGCTCCCAGTACTCTGCAAGCAAAATTATCTCTCTAATACTCAAACTTTGGAAGTCAATCTCTTCCTCTGGAGTTTCAAGCAAAACCTTGTCCACTATCAAAAAAGTGAAATCGTGTCAACACATGATTAAGAATATAGTTCGTACCCATCATCAGTCACAATCCTGACACCAAAAAAGACCCAGTTACCTTGTCTTCTCTTTCGCCGAGTAGAGTGAGAAAACTTATGATTTCTTTAGTGGGGTTCAACCAAATACAACCTAATTTTAGGGAGCAAAGTCGAACAATCCCCAATAAATAATAATATAAATTAAATTGTAATGCAAGAATAGACATTAAGAAGAACCCTATGATCAGACCACGTCGACTCAAATCAGTGAATTCCACAATTCCAAACAAAATCAACCAATAACACACGCGAATTCACAAAAATCAAAATCCATAACCACATCGATGACAGATCGAACACAATATAAACATAGATAAAATCACTGAGACCAATTACTGAAAGCTCAATCTAGATCTCATAGTGCAGAGCAACACATCAGTGAAAAACAATTACTGAAACAAAGATTAAATCACTAAGATCAATTTTTCAAAACACTAATTTAGCATTTTTCAAAACACTAATCCAAAACACAGATAAATCACAAACAAAACAACTAACCTCTGATCAAAGAAGATGAAGAATTCCAAATCCACGGAGATAAATCACGGAGTTGTGCTCAAAATCGAACTTCAAAATCGCAATCCGGAGATGAATCACCGAACTGAAGAAGAATCATTGAGTAAGAGAGTGAAGAAGAGTCAAGAGCCCTAAGGGCTTAAGACCTATATAGAGCCCTAAACAAAAGTATTCACTAAGCAAAACACTAATCCAAAATAGAGATAAATCACAAACAGAACAACTAACCTCTTATCGAAGAAGACGAAGAGTTCCAAATCCACGGAGATAAATCACAGAGCTGTGCTCAAAATCGAACTTTGAAATCGCAATCCCAAGATGAATGACTGAACTGAAGAAGAATCGAAGAAGAATTACTGAGTAAGAGACTGAAGAAGAATCGAGAGAGAGAACTTATCTTTTTTTTTCAATCAAATAGATTCGATCCTCTGAGAGAAAGAGAGCGCAAGAGAGTGAGTGAGACAGGATTCGATCATCTAGACGGCGGTGCTCAAAATAGGGTTTTCAAAATAAAGGTTTGAAGAGACAGAAGAGGGTGTGAAGAGAGACAGAGTTTGGAGGCGTTTTTCAAACGTCTTCTATTCACAAAACGGTACCGTTTTAATTAATAACAAATGTGACGTTTAAAAAATGCTGTTAAATATTAGAAAAAGTGACATTTAATAAAACGCCGTTAAATAGTGTCCTAGCATTACTCATCCTAGAACCCACTAACTGAAGTTAGATTTGGGTTTGGAACCCTGCTGGTTCATTCTGAGGCTAAGAAAATGAGCATATCATTTGAAGGTTTTGGTTTTGAGCTGACCCATCAAGTCATCTGAAACAATCCGAACAAGCAGACACAATTTTCTCATGCAAACACATAGAAGTTCTCCATACTGATGGATTGTCCTTTTGATGTCTAGGTTAAGATTAATATGAATTCGAACTTTTAGAGAGAATTCTCTGATTGGTTTCAGGTTTTTATACATTATAAGAGGATACTGTACAATTAATGAATAGCCAGAAGACATTACATATTAATATTATTATTATTAATTTTACATAATATGTGTAAGGCTCGGCTTATAGGTTGACTTACTTTGTGCAGATATGTTTCTTTCTAGTGAATTTTTCAACTGAGTTAACATTTTTTATTTTTAAGTCTCTCTACGCTACACGGTCTTAAAAATTATGAAATAATTAGAAATATTTTGAAGAAGTCTACTAAAAACGAAAATAAGCTAATTTTGTTGAAAAACCTTTAAAAAGTTGCTTATTTTTGTCTTTAATGTTCTTTTTACAAAATTTTCACAAACTTTTTAAATTCTTAGGATCATCTAACCAAGACAAAACTAAAAAGTAAAGATTAACAATATTTTAGCTAATGTATGGGCCTATAAGCCATACCTTCTATGGCCAACCCAAACCATGAGTGGCTGTATTGTTAACCCAGTGTCAGATCAGATTGTGCTGGGTCCAAACACGACTGCAATCTACCTCCGTCCCAGAGGATAAGGACTCTTATCTTCCTCTGTTATAAGAATTTCCATTTGTACTCCCCGCTAAGGACATAATTTATATTTTCTCATTAAACTTTCTTTGTTATTGGTAATGGTCTCTTTTTTTTTTTTTTTTGATCGGCAAAAGTTAAATCTTTAATGATGAAACATACAAAGAGCAATATTACATCAATAAAGAGGAGCTTGGTGCTAAAAAGCACCAAGCGCCAGCTGGTGAGGAACCAACAAGAGAGACCAAGAAAAGAAGCAAGTTAACAGATAGACTAAACTAAAAGGAACAAAGAACCAACTGGTATACACAGCTGGTAAGAGTCAGCTTATTGACTCTTTTGCGAACATGGAAAAAAAGTCAGCTTATTGATTTATTTGGGCTTTATTGTCTCTCTACTTTCTTTTTTCTTTTCTTTTTTTTGTACGTTTTTGAAAAAAAAAAAAGCCAATTAATTAGCTTTTTTACTATTTTTCAAAACAAGCTAATGTAACCGATGCACTAATAGGAAGATGAGAAATTCGATGTTATGGCAACAATAGAACACAAACAAATGCATACCTACCCATGTAGGTAAAATAATTCATAATGAGGGCCAGCCCTAACGTTTTAGGGGCTTGAAGCGAACTCAAAGATAGAACCTCGGCTTTTATACATATTTTAATATAATAAAATAATAATAATCTTTAATTTATTTTTATTTTTTGCTTGTACCTTCTATAAATTTGTTGTATATGGTACACATAATTATTGACGTAAATCATAATTATTGAGATAAATTTTGAACATTTTCAACTAGTAACACTATTAATTTATTTATACTTTTTCCTGACGTATAAATTGTAAAATTTGACTAAAACTTTAAAAGATTGTTTCTCCAAAAGCAATTGTAACTCGTATAGTCAAACAATATTCTATAAATAATTTATACATTTGGCAAGAAACCATCCATTATTTTTAAATAATTCACTAATTCAATTGTTTGTTTAAATCTTCATTTTTAAACTACTAATGCTATAGTGTTTGGTTCACCGAAATGAAATTGAATGAAATGGTTATTCCTTAGTCTCTTTATAAATATTATTCCCTCACAATGGTGAATGGTGATTTCGTTAGTAATCTTTTTTAGTAAATCAAATGTGAAAATGGACATTATGATAAAATGATTGTTCTATTCAACTTTATTTTAATAAACCAAACATAACTTAACACTGAAATAATTAACCGAACATAACTTACTATCGAAATTATTTCGAGGCCTTATTTTTTAAACATAATTTGGGGGCTCGAGGCAGCGGCCTTGCCCGCCTTACCTCTGGGCCTTGCCTTGCCTGCCTTACCTCGGGGCTGACCTTATTCGTAATGCATTAGAAGAATGGGAAATACTACAAAGTTACAACTTTTGTGATAAAAGTTAAGAATTTTTACGATTTTTGTAGTGAAAGTCATGAATAACCAAAGTTATCCTTTTTGTAGTAAAAGTTATATTTTTTTGTGATAAGAAAATTACTTTTTGTGATAAAAGTTATATATTTTGTGGTAGAAATTATACTTTTTGCATAAGATATATACCATATGCACCTTTTTAGGTACACATGATAGCCTTTCCTTAGAATATCTCATCGAATTTTCTTACTGTTAAACACAAAAGGATAGTAGAGCTCACATTAATAAATACCTGTGAAACCCATGTTTTGTGTTTAATGATAAAAAGAAAAAATCAGGCAAAACATCCATTTATGCATAACCTTTTCCTTAAAAAAGTACTTGTAAAAGTTGTTTTAGAGTTTTTTTACTTTGATATTAGGATATATTATATTAACTTTCTTGAAATTTGAAAAAATAAAATAAAATATGAGTCTCACAGTTACTTCCCTTCTAATAACTAATTAATGTGTTAAGCTTTATAATCAAGTTATTCTCTTATCTTAGGCTGTATTTGGTTGAAGGATTTGATGAGGAGGAAAAAAAAAAGGAAATGTAATCTCATTTTTTGTTTGATTATAATGGGAAACATAGGAAAAATATAAGGAAAATTTGGCTATAAACCCCCCTTACCTTCCTTCCATTGTTAAAAGGATTAAGAAAAAAAAATTATACTTTCAAAACCCCCTCATAATTATAAAGTCTTGCATAAATGAAAAAATTTATTGTTTAAATATTTTATCAGACTATTATACCCTCAACTAAATCTTTTCACCTTCTCCGCCCACTCTCTTCTCACCTTCTCCGTCGCTCTCCTCATAATCAACCTCAGTACACAACGAAGTTCGAAGCAAAATCATCAACTAAAATGCAAGCTAGGGTAAAGTAAAAGGAGAGAGACAATCTTGAGGAGCTGATCGATGGATTCTCTGCCATTGCAGCTCGATTAGAGAGATCGACACAAATCTCAAATCTCATATCTACATAAATCGACATACGGCGTCTTCATCCTCAGATCTAAGATCGCGAACAGATCGTAGCAAGCTCCAATCAGTACTCGAAACCGGCTCCTCCCTTTCTCAGCGGGATCCAAGTCTCAAACTCCATTGACAGTCTCCTTCGATTCGCAACTCTCTCTCTCTCTCTCTCTATTAGGACCATATAAAGCTTCAGCACCGATTTCATTAGAGCTCACACACATTACACAACAAAATTACGTATATATGTAAATATATGTTCATTTGATTTTATGATTTTGGGCTTCTCCACATAATTTACGTCAGATTCTTTGAATTTTTGCTCGACAGCTACATAGACTTTGTTTTTCTCTCTTGAAATCTCTTAGATCAATAGCATATATCTAAGTTGTTGTTAGCCTTCACTGGATGTGGATGATATTATGATTTTTTTTTCTCTTTTTCATTTTATTTGTTGTTGTTGTGTTGTTGATGATGACGATGATGATGATAATGTAGATGAAGAAACATATTGCAACAGATACTTTTTTTTTTTTCTTGTGTTGATGTTGATGAAATGAGAGAGATTGTAATAGATATGGAGAACATGAATCTGAGCTGTAGATGTCGCCTTGTTGTTTCCAATTGGCTTTTTTTTTTTTTATTTGTTTATAGATCTTAGAGTAAAATTTGACTCTGGTTCAT